TCAAGACTAAATTTGGTTATAAACACTGAACACCGACTCAAGAAAGTCGAAGAGAAAAGATCAATGATGACAAAGAAGTGAACCACTCCTGAACGCGAATCGATCGCTGACTCCGCCATCACATGTCTAGAACTACATGGCTATTAGGTATTAAATGACTTATAAAACAACGTGCTCGCAGGTATACTCTAACAGCAGTTTAAAGGTGCCAGCCAATGTACTAAAAAGTATTTTGAGATGGTGTTTAGCAGCCTTTATCATAAAACCTCTTTTCTTTAAACCAGGTAAAATATGCTTAGACATCAAAATTCTTGTTTCGCTCACCTTCTCCCACAGGTAACCCAGGCTCTGTGATAGTACCACAGTACGGTTCCAGTAAAATTACAGTGTTTGTATGGGGTGAAAATATCATCCTAAAATTTCTAGGAAATACTAAATAAAGATCAATAAAACTTACTCTGCAGTTAATTGTTGTTGTCCTTATTTCTCCATCGAAGTTTCGTGATAATTTGCAGTAATTTGTTTAAATTCACTCTATCTACAATAATAATATACAAGGTAGGAAACACGAGGTGCCATTTTCGCCGACATGCTCTCATTCAACACAACCTTTTCCACGAAATTCGAACTCCAACGGAAAATAAACATGCCAGGATCGTAGAAATAGGATAGCAGCAGATATAGAAACCAATGAAGCTTTCCCAGATAGAGAAACGAATCCCACAGACTTTGACAAACTCGAAGAATATAATCCAAACACACCGAGAATACGCTCGCCGAAGCAGCCGGGCCAGATCAACGCGCGGCCAAGAAAATGAAGCCTGGGCACTTTACAAAAAAATTCCATCCCGGGAGTCCTGGGGTGACCTTTCTAGGGACCGATACATCATTTGCCCAAAGCCACCCTCCCCTGCTGGAAAAATACTTGATAGAAGGCAATTGTTCTTCCTAGCCAATCACTATTTGCCAGAGCAAACCCCGCACACGCGCCTAAATTTAAATGGCTAAAAAAAATTAATACAATCAGGAGAGTCTGCGGAGTTGCAAGGCGCCCCATTTCTTTTACTAAGGAATGCAAATAACAGTAATGAAACTAATGAAATAACAACGCGAAATACTTACAAGGCGGGCTAAAAACAAGGTTGAACAAAAGGTAGATGATGACTGAGATACTGTTGCTGTGAACTCTCGAGCGAAACTATCGTAAATAAACGGTGAAGCTTACAAACTAATGTCAAAAATTATAAAGAAAATTGCGACAGAATATGAATTGCGATAACTGAGACGAATGTGAAAGGCACGTGCACCAGTAAACAAAGAACTAGCGCGATTAACATATTTAGCGATTAATGCGGCAGCAACACGCTGACTTCTTGTCAATACAAGTGAACGCTCTATCAGTTAAATATGTGAATCATCGTGATACACCTCTCTTTGAATTTGGCCCTGTTGTACAAATGCCTCGGTAAGAGCCAAAATTCACTTATATCTTTTGCTCGTTTTAAGTTTTGTAAATCCTCCTTCGTTGTTCTTTCCTTTGCCCTTATAACCTTGCCCTATTGATGTTTGATAAACTTTCTGAGGAACAGCGCCAGGCGCTGAATATAGTTCGAGAGGGACATAATCTCTTTATAACAGGCCAGGGTGGTACGGCTAGGAAGAACATTTGCCTTCTATTAAGTATTTTTCCAGCAGGGGAGGGTGGCTTTGGGCAAATAATGTATCGGTCCCTAGAAAGGTCACCCCAGGTCCCCTGGGATGGAATTTTTTTGTACAGTGCCCAGGCCTCATTTTCTTGGCCGCGTGTTGATCTGGCCCGGCTGCTTCGGCGAGCGTATTCTCGGTCTGTTTGGATTATATTCTTCGACTTTGTCAAAGTTTGTGGGATTCTTTTCTCTATCTGGGAAAGTTTCATTGGTTTTTATATACCTGCTGCTATCCTATTTCTACGATCCTGGCATGTTTATTTTCCGTTGGAGTTCGAATTTCGTGGAAAAAGTTGTGTTGAATGAGAGCATGTCGGCGAAAATGGCACCTCGTGTTTCCTACCTCGTATATTATTATTGTAGATAGAGTGAATTTAAACAAATTACTGCAAATTATCACGAAACTTCGTTGGAGAAATAAGGACAACAACAATTAACTGCAGAGTAAGTTTTATTGATCTTTATTTAGTATTTCCTAAAAAATTTTAGGATGATATTTTAACCCCATACAAACACTGTAATTTTACTGGAACCGTACTGTGGTACTATCACAGAGCCTGGGTTACCTGTGCTTCTCCACGTAAATAAACTTTTCGTCGCTTATCTGATGAATCATTCAGCCTTAAAGGTAGTTGTGGTAAAAATCAATGCACCAGTGGCTACTCAGATCAGTGTAGGGTTTGTGTTCCTCTGAAGGCTTCTTCTGAAACAAACAATGTTCGTGTTAGACACGGACAAGCGATACAGTCACGCGAAATCAATTAATAATGTTTAATACCTGTGCAAACTGAGTACTGTTGTCGACTGAACAAAAGTATTAAATTATCAGATCCACATGCATCAACCAGGGCGAGGGCTTGGGTCTTTTTTCTTGGTGCCAATGTTTTCCTCAGACGAAACTGCTAGCTATGAACATGATGAAAAGATTTCGTAGAAAGCTCTAGAAAGATCACTATTGCGGAGCTGTCAATCAAACGCAACTAGGGGTAGCTTGCATTGCCGAAAGTAAAAGCATTCGTATTCCATGCAAAGATCGCGAGATGAACTCAACGTCGCCAAATATTGTGAATTCCAAATGTATGTGAATTATACCATTTAAATAATTGTGGACGTCATTTAGTGGGGGAACTCGTAAATAATTCGATGGATTCTTTTAAGTGGCCTAATCGCTTATCAGTGACTAAATCATTCAGCTTAAGGTCTTTTGTGATGGAAATCAATTCACCCCTAGGCAGACCAGTGGGGGCTTGTGTTTCTCAGTTGCTTTCCCTGAAACAAAAAACTATCAGTGGCAATGTTCAATGTTCTTGTTAGAGACGAGATAAACAGTCTAGACAAATCATTGCTAGCCTACGTGTAGCCGCACCCCCGCCCTCGGAAAAACAAAGAGAGGGAGCTACCTGTGGAAGCTGAGTCCTGTTTTCATAGAAAAAGCTGTAAATGAACGAATCCACGTGGAACAACAAGACCGTTTCCTTTCCGCCATTTTTATTCATCCTCAGGTGAGAACAGGGCGTCAAATGAGGGAGAAATCACGTGTCCTTAAAAGACATCAAACATGACCGACTGGAAAATCTGGATTTAGATTTAGAAATCCGGATTTCGAATTTGCAACAATCAATTCAGGCGGTCTAAAAAGTTTGGGTCGGCCTTAATTACGCGGGATGCCGTAGTCAGTCAGCGTCATAAATTCGGTTGCGCATTCCTTTCGTATTTTTCTTGGGAGTCAAAAATTGCCTTGTATTTTGAACTTCCCGTATCCCGTGCCCGTCCCGAAAAATTGCGTGATTTTTATTGGCTGCAACTTCGAATCACGTGCAAGTCAGGTTGGTTTGCACAGGGAAAAGTACTCTTACTGCGTAGAGGAGGACAAAGACTTAAGGCTGTGCTGTACTTATATGCTTCTGATGTCACGTACTAAAAATAAATACGCAACAGCTAAATTTAGCGGTCAAAGTAGAGCTAGCTGGCTACTGAATTCACAAAAACTCACTTGTCCTGAACATTTCACCAGTACGCCATTTTCTCTGCCCCCCCATCCGGCCTTGTCATGACGCAAGTTAAAGAAAAGCCATAAAATTACCTTCTCATTGATATCTCCCTACTCCCAACATTTCATTTGCCTGTGGTGCGGACGGACGGTCGGTCGCTCGATCACGTGATTACCAAGTTTTCTGGGATGGGTAGATTTATTTACCCATGGTGCTCCGCTGGCGCGCTTCGCGCGCGGAGCTCCGCTAATATTGATGTAAGTTTTGTTTTGAATAGCAAAGAAACCCTTGTGTGTAACTCATCTCCTTGTGTATTATTCCTTAACAGAACATCTCCGTCTATCCTGCAAACATTTGTTAATGATACACTCAATTTTCTATTGCCATTCAACATATCGGTAATTCTTACTTACACCAACACATCCCGCGTAAACGCCTTCGGGCGTCTTCTTGTTCGAATTAGGTTCAGCTAATGAAAGGTTCGGCATCTGAACCAGGCCTTAGATTCTAAGACTGCCAAGGAGAAAATAACGTGTTTTGGGTAGAATTTGACACGGGAAACTGGGAATTTGAACTATTAAATAGACAACATGCTCTTCAAAAAGACTAAATTTTACCCTCAGTCAGACTGAGGAAGATATGGAGATGAAAAATTCTACCTGTATGGATGTAGAGTATTCGTTTTCCTTTAAATCTTCTAAGATTATTCTTCATCTCTGTTAACATTCCTCTAATTACCTTTATATTGTACACTGGATCCACCAATATTCCAGTTGTTCTTGAGATCTCAATAATATTCTCTTCAATTTGATAACAAAATACAATAAATCAAAATAAAATCACTGCGCACCAGTCTTGTCGCGTCACACCAAATGACTCAGTCAATTGCTATTTTAATAGTGACTTAGTCAGTTCTGAGCATCTATTCCCTCCCCTTTCCAAGGGAAAGCAACCAATTAACACTGGGTTGCCCAGTCTTAATATGTAGGTTTCAAAAAGTGTGCTTCAGTTGACTGTGTTAGAATATTTGTTCCCGGTGACACACATAAAAAATGAGTTCCACCTACACAAGGCTCGACATTTGATGCAGTAGATAGCCGTTGTGTATTGCAGTAGTTCTGAGGAGGCTACCGTGTAGAGGAATGAGAAATCATATGATCATAATTTATAATCATATGGTCAGCTCCACTGTGGATCAATTCTTTCCTAACGTAAAAGTCAAGTTGTCATCAAATGACCCCCCTTCATCTCTCCTCGAGTGAAATTGCTGCTAAAGAGGAGGCGTATCCTGGTCCAACAGGGTATGGTGTTAGAGGCTGATTCTCTACAAGTGACAATTGATAACCTTATTCAACAGAATCAGATGAATGGAGTGAGGAACAAAAACAACAAACATTGTGAATCTACCAGACAGTGGTGGAAAACAGCAAATTCCATCAGTGGCAAAGAATCGAAAACTGTTTCCCTCAGGTCTTTGTTTGCTCTTGAGAAAGTGAATAAATACTTTCAGGAGATAAATTCTGATGCTAACTACAAGGCTCCTTGTTACGTCAATGTCCCTCAAGGTACCAGGCTCCCAATTAGCGATGAGTTCACTACCTTTAATCCATTCACTGTCTGAGAGGAACATCAAAACCAACGTCAAAGTGAAACTGAGGAATGGCGACCCACCCGAGATAGAAGAACATCTCCTTGAGGAGTGGAAGAATTACTTCAGTTCACTTTTGAACAATGACAGTGGCTTCACTCCATCAGAGCTACCTCTTCCGGCAAGTAATGATCTTCCCATCTGCACTGACCCTCCCACCCGCGAGGAAACGGCTGAAGCAATTGCTGCTATGAAAACCAACAAAGCAGCTGGCCTTGATTGTGCAATTACTGCAAAGGCTCTCCAAGGAGGTGGGGACCAGATGATTGATATCATCCATGCCTTCTGCTCGGAGGAGTACACCAACATGTCACCTCCTAAACAGTGGGTATCAAATGTCATCATCCCACTACCGAAAAAGGGTGATCTGTCTCAAATGACAAACTACAGAGGAATAAATCTAATGTCGATTGCTGCCAAGGTTTATAACAAAATTCTCCTTAACCGAATTCGACCTCACCTGGACCCTCTGCTACGAAAGAACCAGGCAGGTTTTCGTTCAGGTCGCAGCTGCGCCCAGCAAATCCATATTTTGCGAAGAATTATGGAAGGATTTAGAGAACACCAACTCCCATTGATTGCCACCTTTGTGGATTTCAAGAAGGCCTTTGACACCATCAATAGGTCTGTGATGTTCTCTGTTCTACGCCATTATGGCTTCCCAGAAACCTTGGTCAACGCAATCCAGGTGCTCTATACCAACTCTAGCAGTTCAGTGATGGTTGATGGAAGTATCTCCAAACCATTTAGTGTTACCACAGGAGTGCTTCAGGGTGATGTATTAGCTCCATTTCTTTGTATTATCTTGGTAGACTACCTGCTGCTAAGGTCTACAGATGGTGACTCTGAAGTGCTGAATTGCCCTCGTAAATCAAGTAGGTACCCTGCAAAAGTTTTAAATGACTTGGACTTTGCAGATGACATCGCCTTGCTTGAGTCCTCCATCTCCCGTGCTCAGTCCCAGCTAACCAGAACTGCCAATGCTGCTGCTGACCTTGGACTTGTCATCAGTGCTCAGACTTGACTTGACTTGTCATCAGTGCAGTAGTGGGGATCTCAAAAGAAGGAAAGGGCTTGCATGGACAGCTTTTTGGAAGCTGGAAAGTCTGTGGAGATGCCCTAACATCTCTATCTCCACCAAGATCAAGCTATTTAATACTACCTGTGTCACTGTCCTTCTATATGGCTGTGAGTCGTGGGTCCTGTCGAAAGCAATGGAAAGCGAGATCTATGCCTTTGGTACCTCATGTTATAGAATTATGCTCAACATCAAGAGAATTGATAGGGTGTCCAATGCTAAAATCTATGATCTAACTCAGACTGCCCCGCTAGTAGAAAATGTCAGAACCCGCCAACTGAGGTTTCTGGGTCATGTACTCAGGATGCCTGATGATGAGCCATGCAAGGAGCACGCACTGTATATTCCACCACATGGGAAGAGAAAACCAGGAAGGCAACGAACCCTGTTTCTCAGATACATTCAACACCTTTTGGGAGACACAGACAACATGATTGGCCTGGGTAAGCTGTCTGAATTGGCACAGGATCTTTGTGGCTGGAGGAAGCTTGTAGTCGCCTGCTCTGCAGCCTACCGATGATGATGATGATGATCATTACCTTTAAGTTCCTTTCACAGCAAAAAAAGGAACTGCCGCTGGACCTGATGGCCTGTCACATTGGTTATGGAGAGAATTTGCAGAGGAACTTGCTCCCATAGTTACTTCCATCTTCAACTTATCAATTAAGTCTCAAACTGTGCCTTGTTTTTGGGAATTTGCGAATACTTTCCCCTTTCCTAAGGAAACCCCCTGTCATCCTTGAACCAACTTCGCCCTATTTCTGATACTGATATATTTATTAGGCCGTTAAAGAAAATTATTTATGTAGCAGAAGTTATGCCTGTCATTAGGTCCTACCTATCGCTAGATGAATTTGCATATAGGGAAGGTACGAATACTTCCCAAGGTCTCATTAAAAGCCAACATACGTGGCGTAAATGGCTTGACACTAGAGATGCCGATTGTGTTAGGGTTTTTTCCTTTGATTTCTCCAAGGCTTTTGAGTCAGTGAATCAATTCATTTTATTTAACAAGCTCAAGGAATTGCCCATCAATCCCTACATTGTTAATTGGATCATTAATTTTTTTATTTAATAGACAACAAAGAGTAATAGCTGATGGTGACACGACCCTTTTTTTGCCTATGAACAAAGGTGTGCCTCAGGGCACTATGCTTGACCCATCCTGTTTCTGTAATGTTAAATGATATACAAGCTGTTGATTCAGACAGTTCAACATTGCGGATGACCCACATTGTAACTTTAAGCGTTTTGGTAAAGGGAATCCAGGACCAAGCTCCCCAAGAAGTGTAAAACATACTCACTTGGGCCCAGGACAACCTTATGACTATAAACCTTACTATAACTAAGGAGATGGTTGTTAAGGGTAAATTTGAGAGACCCCTTCCCACTGTCACTTTTGATATCAAACAGGAAGAATTTCTAAAGCTTTTAGGTGTTTATCTTCATAGTAATTCTATGCACATATTACGAGTGTGCAAGAAATATGGCTATAGTCTAGACTCACACCACCACTTCTTCCATAGTTTGATTATAACCATTTCTACTTATGGCATTTCAGTATGGGATGTTGCTAGTTATGATAAGTATCTTTCCAAAATTGACAAGTTTCAGAAAAGAGCAGTTCGTTTTGGTTTCCTTAAGGAGGATTCACCCGTTTTAAGTCTTTTAGAGGCCTCACATAATACGTTTTGGAAGAGTATAAGTACTTCTACTGAAGACCCTGTACAAGATCTAATCACACCCAGTAAAGACAGTAAAACAAGATTGCTAAGGAATCGTGGTCATTCCTATGTACTTCCTCAGATTAGGACCGAACGTTTTAAACGCTATTTTATTATTAGATGCCTCTTCAATTTTATTTAATTGTCTATTGTAATCCAGAACGTTTGTTTTTAGGAACTAATAAAGAGCTTTTTATTTTATTTTTATAAATGTGGCTAAATGTAACTGAGGCTGAGTTAACCATGAAACAATGCTGGGCGGCAGTTTTCCCCCACAATATGGTATGTGGGGTGGCGGGGGGATGGCGTTCAGAAGCTTACATGCAGGGCTTCAAGTTGCCTCAAGCAAAAACAAAGGGCTTAATGTAGGGGCAATTTTACAAAAATGTAGTGCCAATATAGAGAAAACGATAAAATAATAGGGAAAATATAGGGATTTCTAAAAGCATATCTTATTCAGTGGCAGTTTTGCAACTTTGCGGAAGGTAAAAAACACAATAAATTTTAGTTCAACATTGTGAACACTTATATAGAATAAGGTCACTAACGAGCACGCAAAAAATGTACCTAGATTAATACACCCATTGACCCTAAAGAAGTACAGTGCAATACTGTTATTGTGTTTTGCAACTGTTAGAATTCTTTCTACATGCAACAGTGAAATTTGTGTCTACACGACTTTAACCTCATGTTTAAATGCCTTTTTTTGCCTTTGTTTACTTTATGGCGGAGCTTCTCTCACATTGAGAGAACATGCTGGTCTGGTTTAAACATACAAATTTATGGTGGTTTTTGTTTCTGACAGAGTATGACCTCTTTTGAAGTGTTAAACTTGATATTGTAACTCAGTAACGTTTTAATGAAGGTTTTAGTTTCTACAGTTTGCTCCAAAATGCTTGAATGTAGAGTTGTTTCAGTGCCCGTTAATGTAATGACTCCCTGCTATGTTTTGTTGCGCTGGGCCCAGAGATTTAGAGATGCTTGCAGGATGTAGAATTCTCATGAACAAGAGTGATCTACAGATCTGCATTTCTAAGAAGGAATTACAGCTTAAACTCGAAGCTACGCCAACTACCCAAGTATGGAGAATTGTACTTACTGACTGATAGCCACTACTTTTTTGTAGATAATGCGAATCTTTGGAGTTGGGCACAATGTTTTTATATGTAATTCCTTTTTTTATAGCTTTACAGCTTGCGACTATTCGGTTAATCATAAATGCCACTTTCTGATCAGGCAAGACCATGGTTTTGGTTCTAAATGTGAACCTTATCAGTTGCTGCGTTGACTTTGTGTTCCGTTGCAATTAAAGGAGCAACAGTAGTCTTGAGAATGGTATAGTCGTTCTGTCAGAAAGAGCTTTAATCTTGCACATTATTAGAGATACCTCATTACAGAAGGAAATTCTTATTTTCCTACCGGCTACTTTAAAAGCAACCAATTAATGATCGATCCTCTTCCGCTTGAAAAATGAGTGCACACAAAGTTGCCGCATACTCGTTCTAAAGTGTGGACAATTATCTGGACGAAGAAACACTGCTTACAGCAGCATCAAATTAAAAACATTTACACTAACATGCACTAATAATAAAGCTATTACCAGAGAATAATAATCCTGCAGGGTGTGCTTAAAAAATGGTTTCAGTCACAACAAAGACAAAATAAAAAAAATAATAATTGCCAACTTTCTCAAGACAGAGGCCTTATGCGCAATGGACCTCAAAGAGGCAAGGTAGGTAGTTAGGTTCTCAAGATAGACTTCATTGGGACAGCACCCATGCATCTTCAAGGGCAAATGGCTTGGGAGAAGAAATTGTATGATGCATTCTTGTTGTCTTTGCAGGATCCAAAACTGACTTTTTGGTTGCCAGTTTTTACTAACGTATCTTACAGTAGCCGTAACAGAAGAAAAGGCTACTACACTGATGGAGCACCTTCTGCAAAATGACTCTGAAGTTTAATTATCGTGCACTTATCAATGGTCATCCCAGAGGAAGGTCAATTCTCCCTAGGGACATATGTGGGCATGGTTGACATTTGCCACCAATTTTTAGCCCAGGATGGGGAATTGAATTGCTTTTCCAATTTTATAGCAGAATCCCTTAGGAAAAGACCCCAGAGATTTGTTATGCACCTAGCAGAAATGGCTAAGAGAGAATAACGAGAGAAGTATAGAAAATGTTGTCCTTTCCCATTCCTTGACTTTCAAAGAAAGCTCAACTTCATCCCATACAGTAGACAAGTGTAGGCCGAGGCCAGACTTCGAACTTTTCTTGAGACAAACCAAATTGTGATTTGCGTGGATCTTGATTGAGTTTGACAGCTGAGCCAATTGCAAAATTAACTAAGCATCTAACCATGGTGCAGCCAAACCACCCCTCAAAGGTACCATTATATTAGGATCTTGGTGGAATGCCAATCAGACAAAAGTCCACATTTTGGACTACGGGCAGATGACTTCTATCGCCTTCCAAAGAAAAAGGCAATAAAGACCAACTCATCCCAAGTTAGAGGCTACCTCAAAAAATGAAGATGGCAGGGATGAGAAAAATTTTGTTGATTTTTTTTTTTTTTTTAACTTCACTATACAGCTGTACCACTCTTTAAAAGAGGCATTTGAGTAAAAAAAGAAGTAAAGAAAAAATTCTACAGTCGGAAAGTCCCTTGAAACACTAAACGCTATGACAGAAGGCTTCATCTGAACGCTCTCAACCAACTGCTGCTACCCAGGGAGACAACAGGGGGGTTGCAAACAGCTTTGTGCGAATAGCGGGGGTTCCTTGGGGGCGACCCCTTGGGATGCCCGCTGATAAGTGCTTTTAGGCTGAGGAATTGTTATAAGTGAATCAAGTGCAGCTATGTAGCTAGCGAAGGAGGTGTGGGACTGCGTAAAAATATTCAGTACTTAAAAGAACAATGCTTTTTTTAAATATTAAAGTTAACTGATAAGATTAACTGTACGTGGAAAAGCAAAACATTACAAGGACTAAGTTACATCTAAATCCACATTTTGCGAGAGGTGAACAAGCTTTAAACAACAGACGTCAAAGCGGAACTTAGGCAAGTTATATCAAAACTACTTACTTGAACAAAGAACTGTGGAATATCTTTAAAGGCCCATGTTCACCCTAGAAGCATTGCGCGCCCTGTACTCCAGAAAAAAAATTTCGCGTAGTAAAGTTGAAAATCGCTGCCTTCAGTGTGTAGAGTTAATCTTCCACAATTCGCTAAATCTGCTTTAAAAGATAGTCTAAACAGGTTCTTTTGGTATTTTTCTTTACATCTTCTTGGATATTTTGGTCTGGTATCGAGTCTTTTGTTTCTGTGAGTGTTTGTTTCACTGCAGCACTTTCAATGGCGGCGCCATCGAAACGTATGGTTGGAAGACCGCGTCGACGGGGATCGCCGAAGTACATTCGTCTCCGTGAATCCGTTTCTATAATCTCTGGAGAGATGGGAAAGAAACTCTTGGCTGTAAATTCTACAGACACCGTGTTTGCCTAAGAAAGTGTAACACAGCGATTACAGCGACAAGACTGTACGCAGTGCTGATTAGACGCTTTGCAAACACAGCTTCTCCCTTATTCTTTCGAGAACACATACAGTACTGTGCAAAAGAAATGCAAACGAAATTTGCCGAAATAAGCAAAATTACGCGAATTTCGGCAATCAAATTGCGAACTTTCGGTGCTTCTATTGTTCTGATGTCAGGCCTACTCTGGGACCTTAACTCGCCTTAACTCGCCTTAACTCGCAACTTGAGATTATGTTCAAATTTCCTTATCTCGCCTTAACTCGCCTAAACTCGCATTATCTCGCACAAACTCGCCCAATCTCGCCACTGCCAAGTGGATACCAATTTTAATATCTCATACTACT